CCATGTGACACGTGTATTGTACCAACCCCTTGCATTAAATGCATATGGCATAAATAGCTGAAAAGCTCTCCTTTTTCAGCAGTCGTCCAAGAAGTCATCATCTCCCTTGTTATTCTTCCCTTTTAGTGTTTTTGTGCAAGAGTGTCTGTGTGTTCTCAAAATCTTGATTTTCTATATTGTTTGGACTAAGTTTTATACCTTATCTTATAATGCAAACAATCTGTAAATTCATATATTGATTATTCTCTTAATCAATAAAGGAATTTCAAAAGTTAAAAAGTTATGTTTGTATTCAACCTCATTCTACAAGTCCTACTAGCCTTGTTGTAACTTTCAAGACAACACCATTTATTATTACATCTTCATACAATATATAAAGTTGTTGTATCCTATAAACTTAAAATTTCAGTTACTAGTTTATTATGATGATTGGACATCATGATATGCCCATTTATGGTAGTGTATCATATAGATTCATGTGGCCCTGGGTTTTTTGTGGGCCAAGGCCTTCCATGCCCCTATGGGCCTATTTAGTAGGCACAAACAATAGGTTTGACATTCATAAGTATGAGTCGGGCTCTGAATGTGAAAATTGGTTCGATTGGGCTTGTCTTTAAACCGGCGCTTGCAACATATACTTGGCCTGATCGGTTTTCTTAGTCTGGCACAGGCCTAGGCCTAGGCCTAGGAGTGAGCTTAACAAAATCGAGTTTTTCAGGCCAGGCTTAGGGCACAACTCTTCTATGATTTGGGGCAAACCTACGTATATAGAGGAAGTGTGCACATACTCCCACTCCATCCTCCTAACCCAATGGAAACTTTTTAGGAGTGTGAAAGGTACATCTACTTTATTGCTTGTGTGCCCTAATATTTCTTGAAACTAAAATAAAAATGCAAGTAATGTCATCATGTTAAGGTCATTTCTTTCGAAGGACGCACGTTCAAAGAATACAAGACCTAAATAGAAAGAATGGCCGAATACAAGAGCACGAACCAATGAATTCGTAATGTTTTTGCAAAAGTTTCTATATATTTACTTTTTATAGTCAAATGGTGCTACAGGTCAGTATTTTTTCTCGGTCCAACTCTATGTATGATTAGACCACCGTCCTTTGAAAAAGTAGAAAAGTTGTCAGTTTCATATTAGATAAGATGTCTTGCATGTACACGCTCAATGAGTTTAAGAACAAAAGTAACTCGTAATTAATAATCAAGTGGATTTAATAGAATACATACAAAACTAAGGGGCTGTTTACCCAAATGCTTACTCGATAAGTGCTTACCGGTAGGAATCAACATTATAATTTAATTTTATCGGATAAGATTGTAGTAAATCAAAACAGTATCCAATACAACGATTTATCAGGTAAGAACTTACTTACTCGGGTAAGAGTCGTCACTCTCACTTACTGGGTAAGATTCTCCATCATAATCATCGCTCTTACCAGGTAAGATTATTGGCCCATGTCATGTTAATTCTGTGAGGAAAATTGTCCGACAAACACTTACCGGGTAAGCGTTTAGTAAACGACCCCTAAATTAAATCACACAGATCTAATTATGTATCTTATCTTAAATAAAATATAAAAAATAAAATATATACAAACTTATTTTTTATCATAAAGAATAGAACAGTTGTTTCTGTTGCATACGAATTTTAATACATTGAAAAAGAAATGGGAAAAAGAAATTCGAGATGGGAAATATGATTTGAGTTTAGATAGAAGAGATTGAAGGTGAAGTGAAGGAGAGTAAAGGCATGGCACGTGACGGAGAGATGATGAAACGTGCACCCATGTGACCAGATTGGCTCCACAATGAGATGTGATCCAGGTCAAAATTAAAAAGGTCAACATCTTCAACTTCAACACCCATATCGCATTTATGATCCTGGTCTCCCCCATCTCCATGTCCTCATATTTTCTACTTGGTCCAAATGCCACCGATCTAAATCTTTCACTCCGGTTTGGTTCGGTTCGGTTCAGTTGGGTTTGAACCAAACTAACTAAACCATAATGCTTCAAAACCGAACTAAATTACTTTTCAAGGATTCGAGTTTGGACCTCAAACAAGGAGGTTTGATGTCGATTGATGGTTCCATAATACCCTTTTATATGGAGATTATCGATGGTTTATGATACGTGGTTTTGGTGCATATGGATTCGATTTCAGTGGGAATGGAAGTTATAGTGAGAACAGTGAGAAGGAATCACCACCTTTTGATCAATCGTAATTGAAGATCAACATTAATGAAATGCACCAGATTAATTTCCATGAGAAGCATTATTCATGGGAAGGGAGTGAGATTAAAAGTAATCAATGGTCCTTTTCCTTTCTTACACTTCTCATCTTAACTCACATTCTCACACGATCTTTTGTCATGTATATAGGGACATATTTTATTGGAGAGGACCTTGTTTTAAGAATTCTCTAAATCGTGAGATCTCTGAAAATCAGTATATCATGTGTTATTTCATATGATATTTTTCATCTATTGCTAGAAATTAATGTAATGATTAACATAAATTTGTTTCACATGTACTTGGTTCACAACGTGAACTTTTTTTACTTGGCTGTGAAGCAAAAATATACGTAAAAAAGTTTCACTTTATGAACCGAATACATATGAAATAAACATATTGTGAAACAAATATATATTAATCGATACATACTTAGATGGAAAAAATCATGTGAAACAAAACTTTAAAGTAAAAGTTCTCATTGATCTCACAAATTTTGAAGTTCTCAAATGATTAAACCCCTTTAATTGCAAACTTAAGTTCATTTATGCATCGGGACAAATGATATTGCACCACTTGTTCCAAACATTCACGGGATATTTATCATAATGAATAAGTGATAAATATTAAAGATGAATGTCGAGACATATATTCATGATAAATAATATTTGTTACTATTCAAGGTTATTGGTCATGAATACTACATAAAATAAAAGGTTCCCGAGTTCTTAAGATATTTAAGGTTCCTAAAAGAACCTTCTTGTATAGATATATATAAAAAGCATAATCATACGACCACTGATTATGTGATTGTAAAACAATACATATAAAAATATAGTGTTGATTTACAATATGAAACAAAAGATAGTTACTAGTTCTCAATCTTATTATGATTCTTATCATGTACACACACACACACACACACACATATATATATATATATATATATATGTATGGAGTACACTCTAAATCTACGAGTTTTGGTATAGCTTGTGAATTTATTATTGAACACAAACTAAATCAATAAAACTAAATCTAAACATATCGCTTGTGAATACAATGTAAACCTTGTGAATATCCAAGTAAAAAAATTTATTAATGTTGTTTACATTTTATTCACCTTATGCAAGATGTATATGTTAATAGGGAGATAAGAGAGAGAAGAGTAGAAAAATAAATAAGTACTGAATTTCCTAAAAATTCCGTTGGTTTTTATTAATAAATAACGATAATTATCTCATTAATTAATAACAATTATCTTAAATTAGTGGCTTATGTTTGATCTCACATATTAGAGCTCTCAAATTATTAAGCTTCTATATATATAGACTTTGAGATCATGTGAAACCAGACTGTTTTTCTGAGACTCGTGAAACCACTTTTATATTTGAAACTTCACAGTAAAACACTGTAAATGTAGCTGTTTCTGTTGTGAAGGTTTGGATTTGTTTTTACCTTCACATTGTTTTGTTGTGAAGTTTCAAGTGTAAAAATGCGGTATACGAGCATCACGAAAACAAGATGGTGTCACGTGAACCAAACCATATATATATATATATATATAGGGGAGCGATCAAATGCAAACCACTCAATTTGTACAA